GTTTGAAACTAAATAAATTGCATGATGAAGTCTAATGTTTAGGTTGGCCTTCCAAAAAGTAAAAAAAAAAAAGGGAAGACATATCATTTAATTTTTCTCTTCAAGAAAAATACAAAGGGAACAAGGATTAAGTAGTTATAGGTTTAATGTGCTACCCTCAACAAAATGTCTAGTTATCAAACCTCACAAATGTTCCCTATATAAATATATAAAGATGTGAAAACACATACAATCCTATTGTATAAGCATCACGTGTTTAAATAGTTTATATCAGATTTCTTCTTCAGATAAGGTGTGCAGTATATTGTTATATTTAATTTATTAGTGAAGACAAACCATTTGTGGCTGTTTGACTTGTGCATTTTTCTCTTTATGAACTCACAAATTCTCCTTACTTCTGAGTGTCCCAGTTAAATACAGAGCATTTATTATAACCAGTTTCTCAACATACAAGGCATAGGTGTTTTTTGTTTTTTGTTTTAAGAAGGAGTCTTACTCTGTTGCCCAGGTGCCTCCTGGGTTCAGGCAATTCTCCTGCCTCAGTCTCCCAAGTAACTGGGATTACAGGTGCCCATCACCACGCCCGGCTAATTTTTGTATTTTTACTAGAGACAGGGTTTCACAACAGGGTTGGCCAGGCTGGTCTCAAACTTCTGATCTGTTTAACGGATTTAAACTATTAGTAATGCTGATATTACAAAAGAGGTTGTTTAGATATTGTTGCTGTTTACTAATATTTAGTAGGAAAAAAGAACATTAAATTTGAAATATGTTTTTGGATTAAATATCCAAAAATGAGATCATTTTTCTTTAAATGTTTTAAAGATAAGAAAGTTTCATGAGATTAACTCTAGATTAATATTACCTAGGTCCAGTATTTTTTCCAAAACGATACATTTGCAAGGTATAAATTCTTGCATTTTAGCATAAGGTATGTGTGTATTATTGCTTTCCTTACCCTGAATTCATATTAGCTACATGTGTACAAGATCACAATGAAAGAAAAGACATATCCAAGACATAAAACTATAAATCATTCATTCATTTAATTTGAATGTATTTTTTAAAAAGATATTAAATAATGTTTTATATGTCAAAGGCAAATACTTGGGATTCAATTAATTCTTAATATTTGTATAAAAATTGTATTTCAAAATTAATTTGCATGCTGACTTAAAATCAGAAAGCTGGCAAATACACTATCCAAATTGCATTCCTGGAAAAAAGGGGAATATTTTGAATTCCTAAATAACTCCTTTCTTAATTGTAAATAGACATCATTTTATAAAAAGTATGAATGTTACCGGAAGTCTGTTGCTAGGACGAATTATTCCAAACTGGTGGTTATTATCAGAAATGATTTATGACAAGTGCCCAGTCAAAATAAATGTAGTGACCACAGCAGGAGGTATTGCCTTGTGTGACTCTACAAAGAACTTTCTTTCTTTCATTAACTTCAACTTCTGGTTGCTATGGCATCCAGTGACAACCATAACTTTCAGAAATTATCACCATCTGCCCACGCCCCTTCTAGGGTTACACACAAGCCCACTCAAGCAGCCAAAATAACACATCAAATTGCCAAAAGCAATCTCAATGCTTGTTGTTTTCTTGGCTTTTCGTTTTTGTTTCAAGTATAGATACCTAAATACTTAATATTAAGACTGGAAAAAAACATTTTTTTAAAAATAGTCTTTTTTTCCTTCCCTTCCTTCCTCCCTTCCTTCCTTCCTACTGGCTCACATACCCTGTCCTAAAAAACTAATCCTTCCTCCTTCTTTCCTACCTTCCTTCCTTCAATCCTGCCTTCCTTTCTCTTTTTCTGTCTTTCTTTCTCTCCTTCTTTCTTTCCTTTCTTCTTTTTCTCTTTCTCTCCTTCATTTTCTTCCTCTCTCTCTCCCCCCTTCCTTTCTTTCTATCCCACCCGCTCTCTCTCTCCCTCCCTTCCCTTCCTCCTTTCCTTCTTCCTTCCCCTTTCCCTTCTTTTTTCCCTTCCCTCCTTCCTTCCTTCTTTTCTTTCTCTCTCTCCCAGACTTGAGTGCAGTGGTACAATCACAGCTCACTAGAACCTGCATCTCCCAAACTCAAGTGCTCCTCCTGCTTCAACCACCTCAGTAGCTGGGACTACAGGCACAGGCCACCACGCCCAGCTAATTTTTTTTCTTTTTTTTAATTTTTGGTAGAGGCTAAACCTTGCTATGTTGCCCAGGCTGGTCTGGAATTCCTAGCTTCAGGCAATCCTCCTGCCTCAGCCTCCCAAAATGCTGAGATTATAGGCCTGAAACCCAGGCCCAGCCTAAAACCCTCTTTCTAATCCAGTTTATTCTCCTAATGATCCTCCATTTCTTCATTCTTCTCTAGAATAAGGCTGCTTAAGATCTTTTTTAGTATAATGCTTAATAAGCTTTTCGGGTCCAAAACATATAGGAAAGAATAAAAGTAAAATGAGAAGAAAGACATACTGATTGAAATAAACAAAATGATTAGATCGTTTTGTTTATTTTAAAACAAATGAAAGATCATTAAGGTGAGTCAAATTGAAAATATCTTTGGCGTCTCTGTTCGCTAAGCCAGGAAGTACGTAATGTATTTCAGAAAGAGTTCTTTCAAAAATAATTTAATATTTTCACTTGGGACTTTGGAATATGACCTTCCTTTATTTAGAAACTCTACTTACCCCAAAGTTGCTTGATGGTGTTAATTTGGTGAGGTGTTGCTATTTACATTTTGATGGTATCATCTCATTTAGTCATTGCTTTAGTAATGAAGTATATCATCTTCATCTTAAAAGATTAAATACGGGCAGACAATTTGGAACCAAATCTTCCCTATGAACACAATCTAGAATATATTTTTTCTCTTATAACTGTGAATAAGCAACAACCGAGAGTCAACACAAGCTTGCCAAATACAGAAAAATGATTATTAAAATGGTTATTTAAATAGAAAATCAGAAACATGGTTCATTGAGTGGTTAATCATGTCACAAAGACTCTGAGGTCTTTTTTTAATTTTACACTTGAGCTAAAAAACGTGACAGGTTAAGATTTTCATATGTACTATAAAAGATTTTCTATATCATTCCCAAATCCCAAATTTTCTAAACAGAAATCTTTTTATCATTCAGTTAAATATAAATAAGGCTTAACAAAGTACTACCTATCTGATTTTTTCAAATCTCACATTGGAATTGGAATATCAGGCAGTAGCATACAGTTACGTGAAAAACATGACTAACTTAACAAATTGAAATGATGATACCTGCCTTGTAATGGGGCAATTTTCAGCTATTGATTTCATTTTTCTATATCTCTTTTTTCATGCACAAAATTAGTACAAAAACATTTTCATGGAAATTTCAAGTATTTACTATTAAAAATCTTTGGTGGCTGGGTATGTATAGTGGTTTATGACTGTAACCCCAGCACTTTGGGAGGTCAAGGCAGATGGATCACTTGAGTCCAAGAGTTCAAGACCTGACAGAGCAACATGAAGAAACCCCCATCTCTGGAAAAAAAAAAATACAAAAATTAACCAGGCATGATAGCCTGTGTCTGTGGTTCCAGCCACTCAGAAGGCTGAGGTGGGAGGATCTCTTGAGCCCAGGAGGTCAAGGCTGAAGTGAGCAATGATTGAGCCACTGCACTACAGCCTGGATAACAGAGTGACACTCTGCCTTAAAAAACAAAATAAAAATAAAAATTCTTCCAGGCACAGTGGCTCATACCTGTAATTCCAGCACTTTGGCAGGCTAAGGCAGGTAGATCACCAGGTCAGGAGACCAAGACCATCCTGCCTAACACGGTGAAACCCCAGCTCTACTAAAAATACAAAAAAATTAGCTGGGCATGGTGGCATGTACCTATAATCCCAGCTGCTTGGGAGGCTGAGGCAAGAGAATCACTTAAACCCTGGAGGTGGAGGTTGCAGTGAGCCAAGATCACGCCACTGCACTCCAGCCTGGGAGACGGAGGGATACTCAGTCTCAAAATAAATAAATAAACAAATAATAATAAAAAAAAGTCCTTGGTGCCTTGCTGAAGAAAAATATTAAATATATAAAATGAGCAAATAGCTGAAATAGCTAAAAATTCAACTCAATGGTTTTTGTTAAGTATGCACAAAGGTGAATGAACTGTTTAGACATTATGGCAAAAATAAAGATGAGTTAGAGACAGTCATTCATGTCAAGAAGCTTCTACTCAAATATTAAATATGAAATAAGATTACTCCATGATTATATTTATTAGATTAGATTAGAACACACGGAAAGACAAATGTTACAAAGAAAAATAAAATACTGATAACATTTCCTGATGAAACAATAAAGATGGGCAAACATATGTTTACATAAATGAAATAATTAATGAACCCATTCAGGTGGTCGAAATCAAATGAATTAATTTTGTTCTAGTACATTATAAAATTTGTTTAGGGTATGGAGCTTATGCAGTCAAGACCATTCTTTTACTTAAACATTTTCAAAATTCTAGAAGTAAACCTTCTTCAAATGGTTCTAATAGAAACATATTAGTTTGAGAAAAATTACCAGACATTTCTATTCAATATGGTTACGTCTTTTGTTTGAATGCATGTCTATCAATTTCTGGAATGTTAAACAAGTTTAAAATCCAAAGACCAGGGTTTGAATAACCACTGACAGCTATCAGTTGATTGACCTTGAGAAAGTCACTGATTTTCTCTGAACTTTGATTCCTTAATAAGAAAATAGGAATAATAATTTCATGTTTGATATTTGTGATATGATTAATTAAAATAACTGCTAGAGTTGTGCTTAGTTAAGCTTTTATTTTATTTTAAATAAAGGAAAGATGGCAATCCGAATGCAGTTTTGAAATGAATTATCACAGTAACATTATCTTAGAGTGCACAAAATATAATTGATGTGTGTAAATATCAGTGTAACCACCGGTATATATAAAAGCTATGACATTGGCTGATTTTTAATATTTTTTGGCATAAGTGAGTAGCAGTCTTACCTGTTGGTGGAATTATCCCAGGAGACATGAGACCAGGGACAGAATGTGGCATGATGTGAGAGTTCTCTGGGGAGGTGACACTTTGAGTCCTCTTAGGAGGCCTTCCAGGTCTAGAACTGAAACAAACAAACAAAAAATTTTTACAATTAAGCTGTTGTCTTACACATCATTTCAAAGTTGTTTCAAGTGGTAACATGGACTGTAAATAAATTTGTTTCAAGGACGGTTGCTTTTGCAGTTAGATGTAATAGACTTCCATCACTAATTAGATTACATGCTGAATTCATTTTCCTCATTGAAGATCAGCCACTCCTGATGCATAATTCATAGCCTGCACCTCGTTACCTGCTTCTTCATATTAATATCTATACACAGTTTGAATTGCCTCGTTTGCATATGCTAAAGTTCTGCATGCAGCCTTCAGCACGAAAATTATGCACTAACTTGTAATAATTATTACAGTCAGCCTGCTATTGATTTATGAGACTTTTAAAAACCAAATATGTGTAGTACTTGTAATGAATGATATTTTAAGGTTCTTCAGGAAATTAAAAGGCAATGGCTGCCTAAGGAAATGTTCTGCTTGTTTGATTTAATACTACAGTTAGCTGGGAGGTGGAATGAAAGAGTGATTCAGACCTATAGCACATTTTTCGATGATATGTTTTATTACTTCGCACTGCTAGCCTGATATCTAGATGATAAATGACAATACATATCTAATGTGTGAAAAGGTCTTGCAATTTCTTTATTTTTTGTCATTTAAAAGATAAGTCAAGTTATCATTTAACCCTTATTCTCTTTAAGTGAACATCCCCCACTAAGTTGCCTTACATTTAATATACTAAAATATATTTGAAAGGCCTAGGATTATTTGTAGGATATCATTAGGGGACTGCCAGTGTAGCACCTCATATCTACCTTTAGGATAAATAAAAATACTTTGTATTTGTGTTTTAGCGGTACTTGTACTTTACATGCCCACTGCAGAAGTTTAATTATTACAATTATAAAAGCAGAGGTGGAGACAGTTATTTGCTATCATTAAAAGAAAACAACCTAAAGTATATAATATTACAATTTTTGAAAACAAAGTTTTAGCAGCATTGTGTTTTCACTTTTTGCCTCTGTATCATAAATGTGCTTTTACAAAATGCTCTCCCATCATTTATCCAGACGAAATCTGCCTAGATATACCAAAACTAACAGATACAGCCTCATAAATAAGCATTTTCATGTTTTGCCTTGGCTGAGATCCCTAGACTTATCAGAATATTCAAAGATCCTATCTCTTTAATGCAGGTAGGTAATGTATGTGGTCATTGAACAAATAATTATTAAGTACCTGCTGTTTTCAAAGAGGTGCACTATGGAGGCTAATTTAGGAGAATGGGTTCTTAGACTTCAGAAGTTCGCATTCTTGCCAAAGGGGAAGAATCTGGCGCATAAACAACTATGGTGCAAATTGTAATGTGCTAAATCCCATAAGAAAGTTGCAATCTGAATACTAATTGGAAGTTAGGATGGATGATGATACTCCCATGTCACGGGAAGGAAGAAGGCAGTGGGAACAGTAGAAGAGAATTCTGAAGGACAGTTAAACATGGAGAAGAAAAGAATGAAAGAAAATTACACTCCAGTGAGAATGCGAGAAAGAAATGAAAGCATGAAAAATGTATGGATATACAGGACTGTTTCAAATGAGCTGAAAAGGAGTTAAATAGGCAGAGGAACCGTGACAGAGACCATCAGAGTTATTTCCTGGGGCTAGAACCTGGAGGGCATTGGGAAAAGAGCAAGACTGTTTGCTTTTCTGTTTTGTTAACCAATAGGGATATTGTCATGATTATTGTTCTTGAAGTATCTCTCAAGCTACTTTCTTTTGTGATTACTTTCTCATGATTGCTCATCATTCTCAGTTGGCTTTCTAACTCTTGTAACTTGTCTGAGGTCAATCAGCAGCCCTCTGGTAGTATCCATTTTCCTTGAGTGATCTCTTCTAGCAGCATCAGGTAGATGCCAAGGACTAAGGGCTAAATATACATCTATAGGCCACATCTTTCTCCTGGGATTCAGACAGATTAATGCTTATGTGCTGGAAATCTCTGCTTCGATGTTCTATAATAATCTAAGAGTCAGCTTGTCTAAATCTGAACTCAGCATTTGCCCCATTAATAGACCTACTTTGCTTCCCCTGGTTCAGCGAAATGGAATCTAACTGACTAAGCCAAAAATGTAGGAGTCATCTGTGTCTTTTCCTTCTTTTGTATGTTCAAAATATTGTCTTTCTGAGGATATCTTTCTAATCTATTTTCTCTTCTATGTCCCCACTCCTACCTTCCAGATTAATCCCTCATTTCTTGTACATGGTTACAGCTTTCCAAACTCTTCCAAGACCGACATGCAACTTTGTCCCACTCCAGAGCCTAGAGTCCAGAGTGTAAACAACTCTCCATGCTAATTCCAGAAGGATTTTTATAAAGTGCAAATCTGACCTTGCTTTCCACTGGCTTAAAGATATCAATGGTTCCCTACTGGGTTCACAATCCTTGACATGGCACCAAGGCCATTTCAATACTTGGTCCCTGCCTACTTTTCCAATTTCACGCTTTTATTCCTGCATTCATTGCTTATATTTGGCCCTACTGAATTTCTTAACAGTTTCCTGAGTGACTCTGGTCTCCTATTACACTGTCTTTAAAGATGCCGCCTCCTTTGCCATCAAAGCCCTTTTCTATGTCAACCCATCCTTTTTCCCGTTTTACCTGACTAACCTGCCTAAACTTTATTACCCTTCTTAGGATCCACTTCAAATTAGTGTTTTTCCTGTGCTTTACGATAGCACATGGTGAACCTATAATTTTTCCCTCACTGATTGCAATAATCGAATTATTTGTTTATCTACCACAGCTACATGACAGAAATTGTACAAAATATGTCTGTGTGGCCTTAAAATGTATCTCAGTTTCTGCTACACTATATGTAGGAAAAAAATTAACCCTATTTTTAAAGCCGTTTTTCCCAAATTCCTCAAGTATCCTACCATATCAATTCCAGGGGTCATAAACTTTGCAAGAAATGGAAAGTCAGGCACAAAGAGAGTTTGAAACTCTAAATCTAAACATAATACTAAATATACATTTCAAGCCCAGAGAAAAAAGAATAGAGGTTTCGGGACATCTCAAGCAAGATGCTACAGAAAAAGGGGAAAGAAAAAGGAAGTTAAAAGGTTTGAAATGTATAGCCCTTTAACTTGTTTTACTTTTAAACAAAATCAAACTACTTAGGAGTACTTTATTATTCTGGCCACAGGAATTGTCCCCACAACCCTCACTCGGGAAGCAGAAGTGAGGCTACTAAGTAGGAAAACTTGAATTCACGCTGTGATAGGAATAGACTCCATGGGCTCCTTTCACCACAGACATCACCTGCCCAATCTATCACATGGCCTCAAATTCCACCAATAGAGATTTATTGCTTTCAGTCTTTAAGCTTTCAGTTCTTTTAAAATCTTTCATTAAAATGCAAATACTCTTGGTGGTGGCAACACCCTAAAGCCATCAACTAAGGTCTTGAGATACCTATGCGAAGAATGAAAGGGATTGAAAGAAAATATTTGTAGGGAGAAGTAAATCTCTTACACTTTTGCCTAAGAACAGGACAACTATGAACCTCTCATTGGAATTATTCCCAACTTCTTGGCTGAGGAGAAGTTAGAAAATTTATATTAACAAGACTTTCCTCTTTCCCTTCATGACGTCCAGTTGGGTCCTCTTATTGACAGGCTTGATATTTTATCCTTAACTGCAATCCTGGGCACTAATTCCTAGGGGATTTGAAAACTTCAGGGAAGATAACTGTAAAATAAATGAATATTTCATTCCTTTCAAAGGCATTTTAGGAAACTGCAAGAGAACATGCATAATACTGTGGCCAAAATCGCAGATTTTATTGCCTGGATTGATCCAGCTGTGCTGCTGTCTCTACCAATTTACTAGAAGGTGTAGACTTGATCAAGCTACCTAACTTCTCAGAAAACTTGTTTAAATCAGGATTTCTTTAAGAAGCATTTTGTATGCTTTGTTAGAAATAAGTTATTCTTGGCCGAGCGCGGTGGCTCAGGCCTGTAATCCCAGCACTTTGGGAGGCCTAGGCGGGTGGATCACAAGGTCAAGAGATCGAGACCATCCTGGTCAACAAGGTGAAACCCCATCTCTACTAAAAATACAAAAATTTGCTGGGCATGGTGGCGTGCGCCTGTAGTCCCAGCTATTCGGGAGGCTGAGGCAGGTGAATTGCTTGAACCCAGAAGGCGGAGGTTGCGGTGAGCCGAGATCGTGCCATTGCACTCCAGTCTGGGTAACAACAGCGAAACTTTGTCTCAAAAAAAAAAAGGAAGGAAGGAAGGAAGGAAGGAAGGAAGGAAGGAAGGAAGGAAGGAAGGAAGGCAGGAAGGGAGGGAGGGAGGGAGGGAGGGAGGGAGGGAAAGAGAAAGAAAGAAAGAGAGAGAGAGAAAGAGAGAAAGAAAGAAAGAAAGAAAGAAAGAAAGAAAGAAAGAAAGAAAGAAAGAAAGAAAGAAAGAAGTTATTCTTACAAAGAAAATACTTAGAAGAGCAAAAACTTAACTGAAAAGAGGAAGCAAAACAATGAAAAAAAGCACGTCCGTTTGGAATGGTCAATTGCCTCAAAAGCAGCCACTATCAACCCATCATTTTCTACACCAGTGACCCAATTCTATCCCAGAGGATTCTGGCAAGCTGAGCTCTCCTAGCTCTAATCCAACGAAGACCTCACTTAAATAATTACACTTAATAACTTGAATAAAATCACAATTTATGATTTTGGTAATTGTTTTTGCCAGCTTCAAGCATTAGCCATAGTACAGCTTTTAGTATTTTCAAACATCTGCATTAAAAAGGGAAAGCAAAAGCCCGGGCGCGGTGGCTCAAGCCTGTAATCCCAGCACTTTCGGAGGCCGAGGCGGGGGGGATCATGAGGTCAAGAGATCGAGACCATCCTGTAACATGGTGAAACCCCGTCTCTACGAAAAATACAAAAAATTAGCTGGGCATAGTGGCGCGTGCCTGTAATCCCAGCTACTCAGGAGGCTGAGGCA